CATGATGTGTGTGTGTATGTATGTGTATATGTATATGTATATGTATATGTATATGTATATGTGTATATAGATAGATAGATAGATATGTGCCACATTTTCTTTACCCAGGCTTTCATTGATAAGTAGTTAGGTTGATTCCATGTCTTTGCTGTTGTGAATATTGCTGCAGTGAACACATGCATGCATGTGTCTTTATAATAGAGTTGTACAGGGAACTTTAGCATTGTCTCTGGTTGTATATCCAAGAATAAGGTTCCATTTTGTTTATTTGTTGTTTGTTTTTAGAAATAAAACCACAGATAGGGCCTTGAAAAAAAGAATTAATTTAGACCTATTTAATGTCCCAGGATACTTCTTATTGTGTTACATTTCCATGTACACTTAAAAAGAATATATATTCTGCTGTTGTTAGATAGAGTCTTATAAGTGTAAATTAGGTCAAGTTTAGTCATAGTGTTATCTAATTCTTTTATACCATTGCTCATATTCTCTATTTGTTCTTTCAATTATTGAAAGAAGAGTATTGAAGTCTTTCCTATAAAAATGTGTGAATGTTTTGATTTTTCTTTACAGCTCTCTTGGATTTTGCCTTATGTTGAAGCTCTGTAACTGAGTGCAGAAGTGTTTAGGCAATCATCCTCTATGATAATATTCTTTGATTTGAAATCTACTTTTTTATTGTTAATATAATTACTACAGCTTTCTTTTGGTTATATTGGCATGATGTATCTTTATATTCTTTTACTTTGAAACTATTTGTGTCTACATATTTCAAGTTTGTTTCGTATAGACAGTATCTGGTTGGGTCTTGTTTTTTTTGTATAATTAAATAATCTGCCTTTTAATTGCGTGATTTAGACCATTTTTATAGGTTATTCGTAAGGTGAAGTTTAAATCTAGCACATTGATCACTTGTTTTCCATTGTTTCTGTTCATTTAACCCTTCTTTTTCTGCTTTCTTTTGTATTCATTGAACATTTTTTATTCTCTTTTATTTTCTTTAAATGCTTATTAGCTATAACTTCTTTGTTATTTTAGTGGTTACTTTAGGGTTTTAGTATACATTTTAATTTATCAGAGTCTAACTTTCAGTGATACAATGTCATTTAAAGTAGTGTATAAAAATCTAATAATAATATACTCTCATTTCCTCACTTCTGTTTTTTGTACCATTTTTGTCGGGATTTTATTTTATCTATGTTATAAACTTCACATTACTTTTTTTGTTTGTTTAAGTAGCCAATTATCTTTTAAAAGATTTAAATAATAAAAACTCACATATACTTACCTAGGTAGTTACTATTTCTGGTGCTCCTCCTTTGTAAAGATACATATTTCTATCTGGTATCATCTTCCCCTGCCTGAAAGATGTCTTTCACATTGTTGTAGTGTGGATATGAGGGTGATGTATTCTTTCTGATTTTGTTTGTCTGAAATCTTCATTGTATTCTTATTTTAAAAATATTTTCAAGAGGCATATAATTCTAAGTTGACAGTTTCTTTTTCTTAGTGCTTTGCCTCACTGGCTTTTTGCTTCATTATTTCTGGGATAAATCTGCTGCTACCTTTATGTTGTTCCTTTGTTAGTGAAATGTCTTCTTTTCTCTGGTTCTTTGTATGAATTTATCTTTAACACTGATTAGAAAGTTAGATTATGTTTGGTCCACATGTGCTTCATGAGTCTCTCATTCTTTTGAGACTAACAGCTACACAAGGCTGTACTTTTCATGGTGAATGGCGGAAATACAAACCAACCAGCAAACCATGCAAACACATTTCGAGCTTTTGCTTACATTACATTAACTAATATCCATTAGCTAAACCATGACATATGGTCAACCCCATGTAAGGTATGGAGAAGTAAAATCCATCTATTATGAAGATATGGCAAGGTTAGGCATAAGGATTATATTCAAATTATACATCTTCATTGCAAGAGGTCCAGTACCTTACTAATAAACTTAGATGTCCCAAGTAGAAGACACCTCATGAAACATAGCACAGATTATTGTAATTGGCAATGTCTTCCTGTTGGAAGATTTGTCCCCACTGTGGTTTCCACAGCTGGTCTCCTTTCTTAGGAGCACATTCCAAGTCAGCCCTTGCAGATTTTTGATGGTAAAGCAGTACTTATGATCAAGTTCCCAAAAAGCTAAGGATGTTGGGACCATACCATATGTACTCTAATTGTAATGAAGATGTACAGGATTCATTTGCCTTGTTGAGAAAAATTATACCTTACTGTGTTTCAACATGTAGTGACAGAATTGTGAGTACTTTCCTGCCCGTTTAAAAATGAATACTACATAAACAGGCAAAATCCTATTGCTATTTTTGTAGCTTTACCAAAATACTCTTTGACATGAGTACCTTAAGGGATGATTCTCAAGACTAAGAGGGCAATGCTAAGTAGAAGTTAAGCCTGAAAAAACAGCGACATATTTTGAAGGCAGTCAAATTGGCATTATGGATATTTGATGACAGTGATTTTACATACTCACATGTTGTATTAGCCCATTTTCACACCGCTGTAAAGGATTACCTGAGACTGAGTAATTTATAAAGAAAAAAGTTTAATTGACTCACAGTTCTGCATGTCTGGGGAGGCCTCCAGAAACTTTCAATCATGGTGGAAGGTGAAGGGGAAGTAAGGCACATCTTACATGGTGGCAGGAGAGAGAGAGCAAAGGGAGAAGTGCCACACTTTAAAACCATCAACTCACTCACTATTGTGAGAACAGAATCTGGGAAACCACCCCCATGATCCAGTTACCTCCCACCAGGTCCCTCCCTCGACACATGGGGATCACAATTCAAAATGATATTTGGGTGGGGACACAGAGCCAAACCATAATCACATGTATGCATTGTTACTAATAGTAATTAATAACATTAGCTTCCATTTCCATTTTGAGCATCCTAGATATTATGTACATGTGTGTTTGTCATCTTTATTACTCATGGTAATCCATGAAGAAACCGAGGCTCAAAGAAACTGAATGAGTTGGCCAGGGAGAGACAGCTAGCAAGTGGTAAAATTGGGGTATAAAACCAGATTGATCTCAATCAAAGTCGGAGCATAGCTCCTTATAGTCTGATGCCCCTTTTCATTCTTGATCTCTAAATTCCCATTTGAGCTTCCTTAAGGGAATTCATTGGCTTAAAAGGTAATAACAAATATATTCACATGGCCTAACATTTTACAGAGAACTTGTAGAACTTTGAGAATTCCTCTGCAGATTCTTGGGGCCCCTATTTGAGAAACGTGGGACTGGGGCATCAGTGGCAGCCTTGCAGGCATTGGAGTCAGGGGTGCCAACTGCAGTCTTAACCTCTGCTGCATAGCAGCTGGGGACCATGGCAATAGATAACTGTCCAACCAATTCTCTTCATTCTCCCAAATAGGAAACTGTTGCCATCTTTCCCTCAATTTTTTGTAAGGATTATATTTGACAATGCAGGTACAATGAAGTTTGGAAAACATGGCGAGATAAATGTTTTAAAGGCAATAAAGTGTTGTCAACATGAGCCTGCACCAATGTGTGTTAACATGAGGTAATGTTCATATGTGTAAAGTTCTTAAAACAGTGCCTATCATACTCCAAGTATAATATGTTTACTAAATTTTAAAAATATAATTTGTACCAACATAAAAGTTGGTGAAAAACAAAGCTTATGCAGATTTTCAATAGGGAATCCGTTGATAGTTTTGTGCTTATAATTATTAAAGAAAGGAGAGATCTCAGAAGGGCATTATCCTTGTGAAATGTTTTTGAAGTATATATGGGGAGTACTCATGCTACAAAATAGAAAAAGGCAAGGGTAATAGCATAATATATTAGCAGCTTTCTTCTGCAATGAGTGCAGATATGCCAAGAAAAGATTTAGGTTATACCCCCTCACTTTTCATACATTTCTCAGTTTTTAGTGTCTGTGATTAATGTTAATTAAAATAACTCCTGTTCTTCAAAAATCTGTCTCCAAAAATCTGCTATTATGTAATACTTTATCCATTGATTTGACGTTTCAATTTCTAGGCAACAATTTCTAGTGTTTTGAAAGAAGTTTATGTCGAATGCTAAACACATGTAATTTAAATTATATGAAAACTGACCCCAACTCTCTTTTCTGTGATGTACTTTATAGGACATTATCTTAGCCCTGCCCCTTACTGTGTAACTTGAGCCTGGCTTAGGCCGACTTCAAGCCCACATTGTTTTCATGTATCATGATACTGCAAATAAATGAACAAATGTTTGTGTGTAGTATTATAGATTTTTTTTTATTATCAAAGCAGGACTTTCATCCTGTGTCTTATTTGGCTTACCTTCTTTCTAATCCAAAAATATTATTAATAGGAGCTCATTTTGTAGCAAATGTTGGGAGACATGGCTGTCTCCCTTCTCTCTCCCTCCCATTCATCCTTATTTATACACATACACAATTGAAACTAACAATACTATGGAAGAAGACTAAATGTTAACTAAATCAAGGGATAGGGTGCCAGTGAGGGAATGGGGCAGGTGGGATGTGATCAGCAGTACACAGTGACCTCTTCCTTTTAAAATTTTAGCTTCCCAGAGGAACATCAGCAGTATTGCTGTAATGGGTCCAGATCGTGGCCCGTTTTATTGACTGGGTCATCTGTAATTTCTTGATCTGAATTCTCTGAGCTAACAGAGAAAAAGATTCCTTGCATCTTGGTGACATTAGGATACATCCTTGGAACATTGTTAACTGGACTTGGAGCTAGACAAAGGACAGGAGCTGCAGCTGGGGACATGTTCCAGGGTAGCTGAGGTTATACTTGGCCAGAGTTAGTTATTTCCTTCTCACTGCATTTAGCTGAGTAACTGGGTGCACATGGGTGAGCCACCATGCTTATAGATATGTGTTTTGGGATATCCAATAATAATATTAGAGAGATTATACATGAGCTGTATCAAGGTCTTATCAGATTCAAGGGAATACATGTTTTGTTTTGTTGTTTGTTTTAACAGAACGAAGTCCCTGAAGTGAAGAAAGAGGAGACTTTGCTGGATCTGGACTTTGACCCTTTCAAGCCGGAGGTGACACCTGCAGGTTCTGCTGGAGTGACCCACTCACCCATGTCTCAGGTATCAGGTGCTTTTTGGATGTTTGGAGATGATATTTCATAAATGTCAATAAAATCAGTATGGTAATCGATGATCCCTATACCTTTCATGCCTGCTATCTATTTTTATTTTTGGTTGACATATATTTCCTAATAGGAAAGGGGGGTAGAAAGGGGACCTTTTCAGTCTCAGTTATTCTAAGCCTCCCATGCCATCAGCTTTCTCTACCCATAGAGCTGGCATAACCACACATTCCTGTTTTCCCTCCCAGAGTAATTGTTACCAGTGCCCCACTTGGCACCCAGAACTGTTCAGGTTTACAAGATACACTCTATGGCTTCCCTAGATGAGGCTCTTTCTTTTAGCTTTGGGTTTACTCTTCTTGCTGTTTTCTCTACTTCCCTTCCTCATACTTGGCAAGTTAAGGCATGTTTGCGACGACCATGAGAGCATGCTGTAGCAGAAGCTATTTTCAGTGTTGATAGTTCTGAACTTGATGCTGTTTTCATCTCCACATTGAAGAAGCTTCCCTCCTGTGATCGTGATTATGATTTGATGGAGAGTTGCCTTGCTTCCCCAAGCCTTTTTGCTCATCACTCCCTCACTCTCCACATTTCTTCCATTCTGATAGTTACTGTCATGACATTCTCTGTCAGAGGATACTGGTGTTGGTGCCATAATGACCTGTGGGTAGGTCCTCTGAAATATAGTTAGTGTACAACTCTCTATGCTAATAGAAGGAAGTTAACTCAAAATGTGATGAAACAAAAACTGTGTATCAGTACTTTGCATATGGTTGGAGCCGTACATTTGAATTTAAGCAAATCCAAAGTTACTAGAGTATGCTTCAAATGAATTAGTGAGAGTATCATAACATTCAGCCTAGGAATTGAGACCTAGCTTGATTCCCTGGTCTTGAAGTCTTCTTGGTATATCACAGTAAACTGCTAGAGAACAAATAGCTCAACATGAACCTCAATAAATAAGGATTATGTCTATTCCATGCTTTCTTCTAGAATGTGATTGAACTTTTAAAGGCCTTCCTGCTGTCAAATAGAAACAATAAATGTCTAAGGTGTTAATAAAGTAGCGGATTAGTAGTCTAGACACTAGCCTTAAAGATGCTTTGCAAAAAAAATGGGTCTCTTAGGTGAATGTTTCAGGAAGCCTCCTGTATTAACTCTCTTCTAGGAGATTTGTGATATGTGCATTAGAATATTAAAGACTGAGAAGCTCTGCAATTAAAGAAAACTGTTTATATTTGTTTAACTTAGAGTTTCCCAAATTCGCTTGACCACAGAAATCTATGTTGATTAAACTTTTCTTAATATTTATTGGAATGTTCTCTAAAACAATACTTAGAGAAATGTGAAGTATTGTCAGCAAGTTTGAGTTCCAACTTGGTGACCAAGAAAAGTACAAAGTGAATGTACATATAATTCAGTATACTTCCTTCTCAGAGCTCTCTCATTATATAGACAGTCAGCAGAATTCACAGGATTTCCTCTACCTCACGCTCCATGCTTCATTTCTTTTGTGGCAGATGCAAAGTTTCTGCAGTAGCTGCTGGAATGATTCGTTTGTGAGATTTCATAGCATTTCTGTCTGCAAGTTTGAGTCAGGGGAAAAACCTCTTCTATGTTAATTCATGATTACATTAATCCATAAATTATGAAACTATGTGTGGCCATAAGACTAAGAGATTCTTCAAAATTAAACAAAAATGATCTTGGTTTAATCTTCACAAGTCTTAGTTCTGAGGGACATATATCACCGCAGTGAGGGCAAGCTGTGTGTGTCCCTGTGCTCTTCCTCAGGTCCAGGTAATAAAACTCTCCGGCCTCCTGGTGGCCATAATTGAATCACTGCACTATGGTTGTCCTGCAATCCAGCTCTGATCACACCTCTCCTCTTTGGCTAAGAACAAAAGTCTTGGCTGAGAGACAAAAAAGCACAACACTGTTAGGTCTGCCTACCTTCTTTCATCTTCACTCATAGTGATCTCCTTTACCCATCACCTGACCACATGTTTTCAAGTGATGTTCATGCTGCTAGCAGAACACCTCATCTTGTGATCTCTGCAGTTTCTGTGCACACTAACTCATCCTTTCATGATCCTGAGGATTGATGAACATGACGTTTCACATTTCCTGCCTTCCTTTTAAAGAAGATACTGGTGCATATGCATTATGCAAAAACATGTACTAGCATTTATGATCTTGGATTCTTATGGGACTATGAAGCAATGAAATGGGAACCATCTAGACAATCAGAAAACATGTATTAGATCTATGTACAAAAAATTGTGGCTTTCCATGGAGCTGTTCTGCTCTCCTGTCTTAGTCATCTTACCAGAAGATGCTAAGCAAGAGACCAGCCAGGTTGCATGGAGATGCAAGGCGGGCAGTGCAGAGCAGTTAGAATGGGGCCCAACCAGGTGGGTAGGTATCAGTCAGAACCACAGGGCTTGCTTTCGATAATACACAGCCCAAATGAGGCCTCTGTGATCTCAACTGGAAGCCATCATATTTCCAAGGTTGGAATGCCAAGCTCTCTAGTTTGTTGTTCACATTTAGTGACTCAAAGTAAGTGCATAAACATGGATCTATTCTAGTCACAGAAACATGGGCATAAAGGGAGGTGGGTTTAGCAGCAATTCTCAATCATAAAGCAAATAAGAAAGAGAAGTATCCCATACTCCCGCAACCCATAGTGGAAGTCATTTGAACCATCTGGCCTCACTCCGCAGGATCCATAAGCTTTTAATTAAAGTACCAGTAGTAAGTGTAATTCATTCATATGTCTTAGGGGGTACTCTGCCAACTTGCGTGATTACCAAGTAGTTGAGTGGTGTGTTATCTAATTCAACATATTGAAAAACTATTTTTCTTGGGCTCATTTACCATCAAACTGGTCATCATATATTTTCTTGAATGAGATGGGAAGGAAATAGTATTAGCAGTGATTAGGGTCTGCATTTCCTCAAAGACGTGTTAAGCTCTAATATTGGAACACCTTGTTTACTTCATTTTAATGAGGTGCATGTGTGTGTATTAAAGTAACCTCATTCGTGTTTCAGATATAGTTTTCTACTCACATAGTGAAAGACAAGATTGATTAGACCTGTGCTATCCAAAGCTAAGTGCCATTTAAGCTTATATTAAACATAATAAAATTATGTAAAATTTAAAATGTGATTTTGTTACCCTAGTACATTTCCTGTGCTCAATTAGCCACATGTGACTAGTGGCTACCATACTGGATAAGCACAGATATGGATCATTTCCATCGCCAAAGAAAGTTCCATTGGGCAGTGCTGTACAAAATGCTTAAAAAATGCTTATGATTTCAATAACTTTTGTCACCTCAGCATTTTTTATGTTTTGGATTTGTATAACTAACAGTATTTTTGTTTATTTGCTTTTAGACATTGCCCTGGGACCTATGGACGGTAAGCCACTAATAACTGTTTTCTTGTATCTTGATCCCCAGAAATTTGTAAACATTGTTATATTTGATTTCATTTGCAACAGAAAGAAGACCCATAAATTTAATGATAATGTAGTCCCCTAGAATGATCATTAGGTCACTGAAAGTCTTGAGCATTATCACAACCTAAAGATGATGGTGAAGAACGAGTACAGATGACCAGACTCCTGGGTGAATAATGGCCAAGAATTTGGATAATGGTCAATAATTTGGCCCTTTGTTTCTTCCTGTGGTAGTTGGTGGCAAGAGGAGCTGTGGTAGTGAAGGACATACACAGCTGTTGTTGCATTTAAATAGAAGACAAGGAAAGTGTGAATGAGACAATGGAAGAGAGGGGCTACTTGGCACATGGAACCATTCTAAAAAATCATTATATTCAATGAAGCTTGGGTTAATAAGAACTTGAGCTTTAGAGCCAGATGGCCCTGGATTTGAGTCCAAACTCTACTCTTATAACCTTGAGACTTTGAGCCATTTCTAAAACTCTAAGCCTCGGTTTTTCTCATTTGTAAAATAAGGGCAACGATGCCTACTTCAGAAGATTGTGTGAGGTTTAAATAAGATAATTGTAAAGTATGTAGCTGGTGTCTGGTATGTATCAATAAAAGATAGATATTATTGCTGATGTTTATTCAGCTACTCTGATGTGTAAGGATAATTACTGCAGAATTTAGAGTTAGGAAAGTGTCACAAACAGCTCTGTGGTGATCTCATTGGTGCTGTGAAATTGGAGATTGGTTGCACACCTCTATAGCCTTATAATCCCTTGGAGCAGGGCCTTTGTTTTAGAAAAGGCTGGTCATATGTCTTAAGAACGCAACTTAAGTTGTATGTTTTCATGTATAGTGAGGCAGCAAAAGGGGAGTTTGATCGATCTAGCAATTCATGAGCAATGCCACTTCTAAATTGACATTGCCTCTTTCTTTCTCCCTTTAAAACCAAAAGGTGTCTGTCCCCTCCTTCTGCAATCACAGGGATATACTGTACTCTTTAAGATCCCTGGAGCTTCAAGGAAAGTGCTCAAAAAGAGAGATTAAAAGTGTCGATGGAAACCACCAATGACAAAGTTATATCTTTTCTAGTGAAAAGTTTTACTCATATACTCACAAAAAAGGCATGCATGGATTGATGTTCAAGTCATTTGAATTCTAATCTCAACTCTGTGTTAATTTTCTTGGAGATTAAAAAGACAAGGCTATTTTTTTATTCCAATATTTTATGTCTCTAGTGGAACTATAATGCATTTTCCTTCCCTAGCTGGGAGGGTATGGAAAGGCTGAAGGTATCATCTAGAAGGAGCCTTTGAACATTTCAGAGGACAGACTTGCTAGGAATGGTACCGATAACAAAAATGCAAAACAACTGCTTTCTGAACGTAATTGCTTACAGCTATTAATCTTTTCAACTTCCCAAGATTTTTTCCTTATGTAGAGAAAATGGCTGCTAATTTGGGGGAATGACATCAAGAGAACTCTCCAGTCAGTCAGACTGGTTAATATCAGACTGTCCTCCATCTAAGCACCCACCTTAGAGACAGAGCGAAGTATAGGATGAGTTTGGGGAAGATTTTCTTCTGATACTGTGTTAGAATATATGCTACTGTGTAATTTCTTGACCTCTAGTGTTTGATCTTAGTCTGATGTTCTCAAATTTGCTTATGCATTTGAAACTTCACATTTCAGAGTCTGCTAAAGCAGAAGTTATGTACTAGCCATAAAATATCCTTGTTGATGCTAGAAAATGACAGAGGCTTTCTTTGTTTCAGTTGTGCCTTTTCTACAGTGGTCTTAAACAATTTTGGGACAAAAGTCATTTGCATCACAAAACAAGTTGTAAAATTTGATCCTAAACCAGTAGAAGCTGTAGCCTTCAGCAGAATGTTGACTCTAAACAGCAGAGGATTTTATTGTGTTAGTGAATTTTCTTCTCTTGTCTTATTGTTACTATTTTCTTTACCCATACAGACAAGCACTGATTTGGTACAGCCGGTAGGTAAATATCCAGAAAATTCTGGATTCTTTTTTTTGGTATTTGATATGCATTACATACATAGTATATTTTCTAGAGTAAATTGTTTCCCCGTGCTGTTGTTAGTCATGGATTTAAACCTTAAGCCAATGAATGTAAACACTTTCCAGTTTGGTTTACTGGTGCTACCCACCTGAAGAGCTTTGTGTTTCTCATCAAATCTTACCATGATCTGTTTCATCTTTTGTTTTTGTTTTTTTTTTTTTTTCCCTTTGCTATACTTTAAAGCCTGACTCTTCAGAAAGTCTGTCCTTGTGTAACCTGATCATAGAGGAAACTCCAGACAGTGGGTTGGCCGAAGAAATTCAAAGATCTCAAAATGATATAGGTGCATTTACTTGGGGCCCTGATGCTAGTACAGACAGGGTCAGCCAGGAAATTACCTCAGGTAGGTTTGGAGAAGACTCTGCATGTTTCTCCGAAGCAGAGCAAGGCATGAGATTATCCACCAGACTGCTTTCGTCTGCTGACTGGCCCCCTGTAGCTGCACAGGGTGAGCATGCCCCAGGGCCAGCCCTTCCAGGTGGAAATGAACGACTGTCCCAAAAGCCCGTGCCTGAGGCTGGAGTTGCCATTGCTGCTTGTGTGGAGACGGAACAGCCATATGACCCCCGTGACTCAGAGGTGCCAGCCGTGGACACAGCTGGCCTGTTCAAAGAAAGTCATGAAGATGTGAAGAAGTCAGATGAAGAGGAAGAGAAAGAGAAGATAGAAGATTCTCTGTGGGCAGGTGTGGAGACGTGTCAAAAGGTAGACACTGGAGCTATTGATATCAAGACACTAGAAGGTACAGAGGAATTTGAAGAGAAAGCATGTGAAAGGACAGGAAACAGAGTGGTGGAGCTTCTTAATACCATAGGAAAGGAAGACAATAGGACCTTAAAAATTAATGAAGTGGAAACTAGGAAAGATCTGAGAGCAGGGTATAAGGAAAGTACAAAAACCAATGAAAATTATTTTGAGAAAACTGACCTATTAGAAACGGACATGGAAAGAGGAGATACAGTAAAAGAACTTAGTGACAGAGACCAAGGTCTACATGATGGAATTCAAAAGGTAATCGATAATTGTGGAATGATAGAAGGCTTTGGAGCCAAATCCACCAATCACCCAGATATCTTGAATCCATCTCTCCAGACCTACTCTGTATCTAATATTGAAGATGGCAGCCATGAGGGTTGGGATTTGGCTAGAAAAGACATAAAGAAAAATGCAGTAGACACTCCCAACCATGATATGATATATTACCCAGAACAAGGCAGTGCAGATGCTGAAGAAATTCAGTGTGAGACTGTGTTAAATGCTCTTGTAGGTGACAGGGATAAAAATCAGGCTGTTTTATCAATAAAACTTGAAGTAGAAGCTCAGTCTAGGACTGGCCTTAGTTATTCTCTGGGAAGTGATGTAAATGGGAGAGATTTATGTTCATGTAAGGCAGAAAGTTCACTAATAGAAGGGTCTGAAAGAACAGTGACTGAAAACTGTAGTCATACTGTTAACTCGCCAAGAATTGCAAAGATAGACTCTTGGGGAACAGATCCAGGTCAAATCTGCCAGCCAAGCTTGAATTCAGCAATGAATAATTTGGATATAACAGGATTCTCTGGTATACCAGATGGCCAAGCAAGTGGATTTGCCAATTGTCTGGATTCTATTAACCACTGGCCTATCAGAGATACAGAAGGCTTAGATAATAGCTGGAAACAGTTAGATGCAGTTGAGCACAAGGAAGAACTGGAGGTGGACTTACTAGCAGTTGTATGTGGGGAACATGCCATTGCTAGCTGCTGGGAACAAAGCCAGGAGATAGCGAGACCATTGATTTTGGGGACCTCCCGGAATGCTAGCACTGAGATTTCTGCTAGTTCCCGAGACCAGGACATCAACAACTCAGATTTATCTGAAGATGAAATTGCTAACCAGAGATATGGATTGTTGTACCAAGAAATAGAGGCTGACAAAGACGAGGTACTTACCCTAGTCTGTAGCATAGACTAGCCAAAGACTTCTGTAGGTTCTGTTTTTCCTCATGTCTCTCACCTACTTCATTATCTATCACTATCTTCTAGGAGGCCTGATCTCTCTAACAGAGTGTCATGTACTTCTTGAAATATGTGCAAACCAAACACAAATAGGTTGACCAAAAAAAAAAAAAAACAGCAGCAGCATCAGTAACAACAAAAAAACCAACAACATAGACACACACACACACACACACACACACACACACACACACACACACACA